CGACGCATTTTTATTTATTTTCTTTTTAATCGCTGAATTTAATTAATTCTTGATTCCCTTTTGTCCGTCCCTGTGGAGACGATACTCGTACTTACACCACTATATTACGATCTATTTTAAGTGCGAGAAAACACACAGCAGTCCCTTTAAGTCCGATCTGATTTGAGACTGAAATAGATTCAAGTAAAAACATCATACGGAGTATTTAGCATGTGTGAGACTTTATATTTTCTGCTTTTACACCAAGAGCCCGTTTGGTGGCACGAAAATCGACTGATTTGGCTGATTTTGCTGAAATGTATGAAGTTATGGTGAAGTGGCTGCATTGGCTGATTCTGCTGATTTAAGAAAAAATTATTTTTAAAATATATTTTATTAATAAAATAAAGAAAAAATTATATGTAAAAATAGCTAAAATGATCATCTACAGTAACTTCAGCCAATACAGGCAGAAAAGTAACTTTGACCTTACTTTTTCTGCTTATTACACAATTCAGCGCGTGAAAGCAAAAGTTGCGTGTTTGATGAAAAAGTTGGCTGATAAGCCCGATAAGCCGAAAAACATTGGTTCCGAACGGCCTCTAAGAGTCCGTTTGGTGACCATTTTTTCCGGCTTATTAGGCTTATCAACCAACTTTTCATTAAACACGTAATTTTTTATTTAGCGCGCGGAATTTTGTAATAATAAGAAAAAGTAAGGTTGAAGTTACTTTTGTGGCTATATTTGTTGAAGTTACCGTATATGATCTTTTTAGCTATTTTTCATATAATCTTTTCTTACTTTTATTAATAAACAATATTTTAAATAGAAGTATAATTTTTCATAAATAAGCAGAATAAGCCAATACATCTACCTCAATCAGTACTTCATAAATTTAAGCAGAATCGGCATATCTAGCCGATTTCAGTGTTACCAAACGAGATTTAAATATTTCTATAAACCTATTTATCTAGTCCAGATCAGACTTAGATAATTATAAAATAAACATATAAAGGTTTTTACCAAACCAATTAAGGCTAGACTAGATTAAAGATAAACATATTAAATCAGACTAAATTTGAATGGGCTAGATAAGGCTAAGAGTCCGTTTGGTGACCATGATTTTTAAATTATCAGTTTAAGTTTTTGCCACTTTTAGTCCCCCGACTATTATGTCATTGACACTTTTGATACTCGACTTTGATTTTTTCCATTTTTAGTCCTTTGATTATTATGTCATTGACATTTTTGGTACTCGACTTTCATAAATTTGACACTTTTGGTCCTTCAATTATTATAACGCTGACATTTTTAGTCCATTTCTTAGTCAATTATTATGTCAAATTCATAGTGGACGGACTAAAAGTGTGAATTTTATAATACTCAAGGGACCATTCCAAGCCTTGTGGAGCTTGCAGTTCTTGCATCAACAATCTAAATGTAAGAGAAATTAGGTCCTCGTACTTTTAAAAAAATCAATCAAATCCCCGAACTTTGTTAAAATGTTCAATTGAGTACATTTACAAGTTACTTGCCATGTCAGCAGGTCACCACGTCATCAACAAATGAGTGATTGGGCTTCCACATGTGTGCCACGTCAGCAAAATTATTGCTGAATGGGCTGCCACATGTGCGCCACCTAAGCGAGCGACCTGCTGACATGACAAGTCAGGTGCTAATGGACTCAGTTGAACATTTTTACAAAGTTCGGGGATTTGATTGATATTTTTAAAAGTACGAGGACCTAATTGATTTTTTCATGAAAGCACGAGGATCAAATTGACAGTTTTTCCAGATGTTTTTGTAATGTAATGGGGAAATTTATACAAATAAGACCTAATCATATGAAGTTTCCCAAACTAGGACTCTAATTATCCGTAAGACACAAACTACATATATTTTGACTGTTATACCCTTCCTGAAGTACGCAAGCTGCAAAGTCGGGTCCCAGAGAAGCGGAGGTGTCAGTTCGCACTCATCTCGCCAACCTAGCCTCCTCCTCCTTGGAACTACCTCCGCTCAATTTTGCTACTTTTCCTCCGTCCTGTTAATTTTGGCGGCCACCGTTGCTGAAAAGGAAAATCGGTTATAGAGGTACCTGGTGGCGAGCAGTCTCAGTCAGCCTGTGATGTCGCCACCATCTATGGCCCAAGTGGAAGCGACACTGCTTTGCCTCCTAGACGTCAGATGCTTTGAGGGTCTTTTGAAGATAAAATAAATGTATGAATACGATCAATAGGCTGTTGTGTTGAATCAGTAGAGACTGATCCAGAAAACAGAGGGTTCTGATTAAGGTCTACTTATGGGCATTAACCAGTCCGTAATAAGACAATAATTTAGAAAATATCAGTTTGTATCGATGTGGTTCATATTTGTCCACAACAAGATGATGGTGTAATTTGATACTGATTACATAACTTAATACATTAAAAATGCTTACCTTTAAGTTTGCACTTGCATGGACAAATGTGGTATGTTTGTCATCAAATTTGCTGAATTTGTACTGATGGGTAAAGATTTAAGTGAAGTTTTGAAGGAAGATGTTGATAGCTACCGCTAAAATTGACGATGAAGCTATTGATGTATGCATCAAGATGGAAGTAGTTAGACTACGATGCTTTGTAATTATTATGATTAGGATCTTAGGAAAGAAAAAAAATATGTAAAATTCTTTCTTTTGACCATTAAGCATTGTTCATAAATATTGGTTACAATCGGTTTGACTGTGTGTAATCTTGTTTTTAGTGAAATATGAAATGTTTGATCACTCTTATTTAGTGTTGAGTTGATTTGTAATGCTGGATTAAAGTATGCAATAGTGTCCATAAGTAGACAGTAATAAGTCTTTAATGTCTCAGACGCAGACATTAAATTCGTACAGTTAATATAAGTACAAACTTTAATACAAAATTATGAACCAACTATGAAACTTGATAGATTCAACTATTGAAATGAGTTTTAGATATATTTCCCATGCATATGTATGATACAAATCACATGAATATAGACATAAAGGTCTATACATTTCTTTTGGAGACATAATAGATGTATGAGTAGAATCAGCATGTTGATGTGTTCAATCACTATTTCAGCAGCCTTCTGTCTTCAATCATCAGGTGTGTGAAGCACGTTAGTAGTACCCAGTGGGAGTAGAATAACATCATACTCATTCCTCAAAACCTATCTCATACAAATTTTGGGTCTATCACTAAGATTTCTAGTTGTGATCGCCTTTCTTGCACCAAGAACAATGCCGATGAGATGCAAATTCACCGGTTGAGGGTATGCTCTTCATTTTGTCCGAATACGATTTCTTGTTGAGACCACCTTTTTTGCACTAGAACATGCCCTTTCTTTCAAAGTAACAACAAAGTTTCAAGATATCTTAGCATTAGTAGGCTTCATAGATGAACCATCAATAATAATAACTCGAAAGTAATGTTTCCAGCCCTCAATCCATGGATTGAAAGACATAAAAATGTACTTAATATGAGTATCATCACCCATAATCAGTGGGATCATTGAATCTTGATTCTTTTGTCCCAAAACATATGGAAGGAATGACATAAAGTGGTAAGACTCCTCATCTGAACCCATTTTTAGCCTTTAGGTTTGCATTCCACGCTTCTTTGTAAGGAAGTATCACACCATAATCTCTCTTTATGTCAACCACTATATTAATAGGAGCACAAGTTTTGTAATAATTTTAGATGTGACTTGACAATGAAGACCTTGTCTAAAAACAATGGAATAGGAATGATCAAAATCATACCTGAAAACAAGAACATAAAATATTAGACAATTGTAGACATTAAATAGTTCTTAAATAGATACATAGAGACATTAAAATCCAAGGTAACAAAGGAAGTATATGAAATTCAGAACATAACATGTGACTTCTAAATGCAAATCATGTACCTTCTAATATGGAACATATGACTTCCAGATAGCATCACTGCAAGAATAGCCCAGAGGCAACCATCATCAACACAAACATCATGTAATACTATGGGCTTGAAAGTATTTATCTTATAATGAAAATGATTTGTAATTGCATACATATTTATAATCTAAAGCTTTTTTATTTTTGTATATAGCATGTTTGACTATATGAGTAAGATGGAGTGAGAAAAAAACTTCAAAATCAGGAACAACACACGAAAAATCAAAATGAGAGGCTGAATTAAAACCGGGAGCTTGACTTGAAAAACACAATTAAAGATGAAACAATATTGCTATGAATACTTAAGTTGTGTTATGAATCTTCATTGGAAGAGGAATATCTGTCTTCTAAATTCAGTGAATCAACACATATAGGACTTAAATGATTAAAACAAGCAGAACAACTAATACAAACTCATGTACTATGAACTTCAAATCTATTGATGCGGAAGAATGTCGAAGCGCAGTACTGCAGTATACAAAAGTGATAAAATGTCCACAAAATTTCGAAGTGTTGTACACAATATAGCATAACAATATAATTTTAGAGTGTGAAGAAAACTAAATGACGAAATAAATAAACAATCTAATTCCGAAAACACGGAACACAAAATCGTAATCAGAAAACACAACATACAAACTTACAACACGAATTCACAGAAGAAACGATCCATAAATTGTGATGACGCTCAGTCAAAAGTTTGCAGCTGACTCCTATCAGAATGAAGATATTGAGTCGGAATTGTTAGAGATTGAGTTCAAATTAGTGATGCAAACTAGACAGCGAAAGTTCACAGCCAAGCTTGAAGAAGATCTAGAGGAGGATTGTGTTTCCTTCCATGGACGAAGTAGTATGCGGCTAGGTCGTTACCACAGAGCAAAAGGAATAAAAGCGGTAGTCTATTACGAATTTACGAGTCATGAACATTCAGGAACATTTTAGGTACGTTAGATTTGAGTTTGCTAAAATAGGATTTTTTTTTAAGTAAAAAATTTAAGTAGGTCAAAAGTATATGAAAGAGTCTTTGTGGACAATTTTCTCAATATAATATACCCCACCCCACGTTTCTCTGTAGCCCCCACCCTCACCACTGCCTGCCCAAGCGTGACTCGTTTTGAAAACAGCACGTACCAGTATGCTCAGTTGTTCACCTCACTCTTGTGACGTGATAGTGTTTGGCATATTGCTTCCACAGTTTACTTGACAAATATACCGACTGTCGTGAAGTTCCCATGGCAGTATGGGTCAGTGCATGAGGAGATCTGATGATAGCCTTAAAAGAACTAAGATATATATTTATATATATATGAGGGTTGAAGACTAGCAGTAGCCTCTTGATTCAGGTGGATTTGGTTCACCCATTTGAGCTGAACGAATTTCATTCAAGAAAAGCTAGCAACTTTTTTCACTCTCTCCTTGTGGTTGAAGTATTCAATGCTCTTGTGGTGTTTCCTAATTGAGATATTCTCTGTGGGGGTATGTTTGCTTTCGCCCGAGCATCTGATACTTATCAATTTTTGGTTTAAAGTTGGTTGATTGGTTTTCGGCAAGTAATTAATTACCATATATGCTAAGTGGTGCAGTTATAGCTATTTTGGCGATTTTGGGAAGGCAAATCTTTGATTATTTGGGGGTTTCTCTTTATTTGGTGAAACTGGTAGTTCATTGATTTGATATTAGAGAGGAAATCTGGGAAAGTTTATCATTGGTTATAGATTGCTGATTTTCCTGGTTCCTAAGGTTGTTCAAGAGAATTACAGCTTTTGGATCAATTAATGTGCTGATCATGACCAAACCTGCCCGTAACCGCATCATACTCAAAGATGTAAATGATAACATCAGTGACCATCTCCGAAATCACATGCATTTGACAAACTGCATTCATCTAAAGAACCACCACATGCGTAGTAAGCAGAGTCCCATTTTGGCCGCTGCCAATAGGTCCCTCATGAGAGACCTTGCTGTCCTTCAGAGATCAACAAGGTCCCTCAGGGATCCTTCTACAAGCCCGCCCCAAGTCCGTTTCGGAACATCAGCTGATGAGAACAGGCTTCAAGATGATTTTAAAGATTTCATCCATGGAAATGGTTATGGAAACTCCACACATAGGAGTATAAATGTCAAAAACAGGAGAAGACGTAGAAAATGTGATACAACATTGGATGGGAGTGAGTTGTCTGTCGCTTCAAATTCTTTTGGCCAATGTCAAAACCAGGATGTCTCCAAGAATAGATGTGGCATTCCCTGGAACTGGTCAAGAATTCACCGTAGTGGAAAATCCTTTCTTGATCTGGCCGGCAAAAACTTGTACTGTGGGTTTTCCGAGTCAACAAGGTCAAGAATCCATGCCGATTTTTCTGGAGAGTTGGGTATTTTTGCGGGCAATAATCTGCTAAACGATGATACTGACTCCGAACTTGTTTCCGAAGCTAGGTTTTGCGGTAAATGCTGTTCTCTAGGTCATAATGGCAACAGTTTCAGGCACTGGAGTCTCACTAATAAATACATGCCTATGACCTTCCGGGGTTTGGTTGGACAAAATTTGGTTGTAAAAGCTCTTTCCAATGCCATCCACAAGAGGAAGGTCGGGTCACTTTATGCGTTCTATGGGCCAAGCGGTACGGGAAAGACTTGCTGTGCACGGATATTTTCCCGGGCTTTAAATTGCAAATCTCGTGACCATCATTCCAAGCCTTGTGGAGCTTGCAGTTCTTGCATCAACAATCTAAATGTAAGAGAAATAGGTCCAGTGAGTAATGTCGACTTTGAGGATATTATGGACCTTCTTGAAATGATGAGTGTTTCTCAGTACAGAGTATTTATCTTTGATGGTTGTGATAATTTAGCGACTCGCTCATGGAATGCTATTCTGAAGTTTATAGATCGTGCACCTAGGAAAGTTGTTTTCGTTCTTATTTGTTCAAGACTCGATGAGTTGCCTCATATGATCATATCCAGGTGTCAAAAGTTCTTTTTCCCAAAGTTGAGAGATGTGGATATGATCCGTACATTGCGACGTATTGCTGCTGAAGAGGAAGTGGAGATTGACGAGGATGCATTGAAGCTTGTTGCAACAAGAGCATATGGATCTCTCAGGGATGGGGAGATGACTCTTGAGCAGTTGAGTTTGCTTGGGCAGAGAGTTACTGTTTCTTTGGTTCAAGAACTAGTGAGTAGTTTCCTCAGTTTCTTGTTGTGTTTGGGTGTGGAATTTGGCACTTTTGTGCTTTTACATGTTATGACTCATTGTGTCTCAAAATACATGTAAGGAATTCAAAAGAGATATTGAAGCCCTAATCTTGCAAAAGTTTTTTTTTTGGCTTGCTGAATCTGCTTGATTTTTTTAAAGGAAAAACATTTCATACAATCTAATTCAGCCAATTAACTAAATAAGTCAAGAGTTACTTAATCCGTTTGTTTGTCATTCTGCTAATTCTGTGAGCTGAACTAGCCTACCAAGCGAGAGCATATATATATGTGTGTGTGTGTGTGTGTGAAAAAGATCCTGTCCAGCCATCCGGACAGGATCCCTCGTCCAGCCGCCTCCTTTTGAGGAGGTTCCTAGTGGAGTTTTTTTGATGAATCATTTTCAGGATGTTCTTCATGAAGTATAAATTATTATGTACACAAAATTTGAGTTCAAAATTCAATTGGGAAATCAGTTAAATAAATTAATGAAAAACATTGCGTTATATGTTTATATATATTTGGCACAATATTTTTCAATAATTTATTTAACTGACTTTCCGATTGAATTTTAAGCTGAAATTTTGTGGACATAATTTAGACTTAATGAAAAACATGCTCATAAAGTTTCATCAAAAAATTCCACCAGAACCACCTCAAATGGAGGCGGCCGGACTGGGATTCCGGTCAGAAAGGCCTGACTAGATCATTACTCTGTTGGGACGGATTTTTGCAATATAAAAAGAAATCTTGGTTAAATGTTAACCTATTGGATCATTACCGTATTGGATCATTAAGTTGTATGTAGCTTTTTAGAACGAAAATAAATTTGGGACGGATAACCTAACTGTGAACATGAAAACAAATCTTGGTTAAATGTTAACACTAATATCATAGACTAGACATCTACCTGACCAATTTAGATCAAACTAAACCAGATTTAAATAGACCAAACCATAAAATTTTAGTCCATTTAATAGCATATATACCTTAATGCTCCTCCCAAATTAGTTTCTTCCTGATGAGAAATATCATTTTTTATGAGCAGCTGAAATGCTGAATCTTATGCAATTAGAATTATCAGTGAAAGATATGTTTCAATCTAATGCTAGGCAAAGTAAAACAAAATGTTATGGAAAATTATTATTTTTGTTTATGTTTTAGTGGTTTTAGCGTGGAAATGCAAAGGAATGTGAAGTACTACTCTTTTTTACTTCAAAGTTGCATACATTTAGATTACCGGGTCATTATTCTCAGTCATATTTTCTCTGAGACATTCACAATTGATGCATGTAAAACTTTTTCTTACAATTGAGTTTTATGAATGAGAATTTTAGAAAACAGTTTTTCTCATTGCCTTCAGGTCGGGCTAATTTCTGATGAGAAATTGGTAGATCTACTTGACCTGGCATTATCAGCAGACACGATCAACACTGTGAGAAATCTTCGGGGGATAATCAAAGCCGGGGTTGAGCCCTTGGCTTTAATGTCTCAACTAGCTACTGTTATAACTGACATTCTTGCTGGTAGCTATGACTTCTCAAAAGATAGGTCACAGAGGAGGAAGTTCTTTCGCCGCCATGCATGTATGCGTGTAATAATTTATATCATCCTCATGACTCATGTATTCACATGTTTCTTATCCTTCTAGGTATATTCTTGTACATCATAATGGTAAGATTCTAAGGGTGGAAGAGGACATTCTGTTCATAGCTCGATGCTCGGGAATACTCTCTATTCTTCTCAAATTGATTCTGCATACTTTTTTTTTTACTCCTGGGGGCGTCTGGGGGAGGGTAGGCGACCAACTGAGCTAGACCACTTCCTCTGATTACTTAATCGACAATTGAATGCACAAACAAATTACTTATTGATGGATAATTAGTTTTGAGGGTGTTAATTATCATTTTGCAGGCGACTAGTCAACTTCGCATGGATTTAAATTGCAGTATAACCCTCTTTACTATTCAAATTCAAATGAAAAGAAAATTACTTTTGACTTCCAGTCCAGCCCGTTTTTCCTTGATTTAATGACTCCCACTTGTTGCTATGTTTGATTTTTTTTCCAACTGAATGATCTGCTTTTTTCGTTTGAAATTCAATTTCAGTAACCAAAGACGATTTGGAAAAATTACGGCAGGCTCTGAAAACATTATCAGAAGCTGAAAAGCAGCTGAGAGTATCAAATGACAGAGTCACGTGGCTTACGGCAGCTTTACTTCAACTTGCGCCTGATCAGCAAGATCAACTTCTCATTTCCTCCGCAGACACAAGTTTTAATCAAAGTCCCCTTGGATTGTTCAACTATGGAGGAGAAACAGAGTTGTTGAAAACAGAAAACGTTCAAACAGGGAGTTCAATGAGCAATTACAATGACGGTACTGAGAAGAGAGGTATTATTGAACGAAAACAACATAGTATTGCAGATATTTGGATGGATGTAATAAAAAGGATTAATGTAACGAGCTTAAAGGAGTTCTTGTATCAGGAAGGAAGGCTGGTCTTGGTTAGATTTGGTGCAGGTACTTTACTTGCATTTTAACCCTTTTTAGTAAAAGCAGTATCATTACTTGTATGGCATGATTATGATTTCAAAAAACATAGTTGAATGTTAACAATTATAGCCTGTTTGGCAAGACTTAGGTCCCATTTAGTAGCATTAATCGGCTTATTCTGATTATAATCAGAATTAGTAGTCTTTGACTTACTTGTTTGACTGAAATCAATTTTTTGAAATGTTTTTCCTTTCGGGCAATTAAGTCAATTCAGTCTATGAAGAATGAAAACTCGTAGAAAAGGGTACATTTCTGTTTCGGGAACTCTACATGGATTCTTTAGAAACATTTTAAACACTTGTTTTCTATTAAATGATGGTGTTTTCTATATCACGTTTCACTACGTTTCTCACATTTTCGTGCAACATAGCATTCAACCATTTTCACCAATAAATCCAGTAGAGTTCCAATTTGATCTTTGTGTTTTAATTCTTCATATTCCCTATTTGATCTTTAATATGTCATTTTGTTCTTTGATGCACTCTTTTTCTCTATATATATTTGGAATCATGTTTGATGGAAGATACAACATACTAATAATAACGATTATAATAATGATATAATAGTGATAATTGTTGAAATCCTAGTTGTATTCGGCCTAGCCCATTTTATATAGGAAATCCTAATGTTCTAAGTCTCTAACTATAGCTTCAAATATAGCTACTATTGTAGTGTTTGATAGAAAGAATAATAACAAAAGGTTCATACTATTCACATGGTATCTGATAGAGACACGGAAATCCTATCAGTATCAAAGCCATATATGGAAAACCCTAGGCATTCTTGTTGTTCTTCTGCCGAGAAATTCTGGCATAAACAGTGGCTGCAATTTACATTGGAGTACTTTCGGTATTCACACCATCAATCTTACCTCCGCTGCACAAACCACACACCGTCAAAGTCTGCCTCTGCAGTTTTACTACTTTTGCAGATCTCTCTCTCCCCATTCATCTGGCATTGATACTGCCAATATTCTCATTATCCTGAGTTTCTGGCAATCCAAACCAACTAACCTGGTACCGCTCCTGCCATTCGCCACCGCCCCACGCGCAAAGAAATCTGTTTTTCATTGTGCTTGTTCTGCTGCAGTTGAATTTCTTATCAAGTTGCTGTTTTTCATCTTGCTAGAATGGAATATTTATCACTCATCGTTGGTCTCCGGTGAAACTCTGTGCATTGTATTAGGAGCTGGTATTTTTCCTCTTGCTGATTTCATACTATTCACACTAGGAAAATAGAGAGAAAAGTCTATTGGTTTCTGTTTGCTTCGGTTCCAATTATCACTAATAATCTGATATGGAAAGAAGAAGCTCATTATTACTATCATTATTCATTATTGTTAGTTTCCAAAAGTAAGTTTCCTAAAGTATTGGGTGCTAGTTTCCTAAGGTTATTATTAATTTCCTAAAGTAAGTTTCCTAAAGTATTAGGTGTTAGTTTCCTAAGGTTATTATTAGTTGTAGTTTCCTATTAGTGGAGATATTCTATTTTAGTTAATTTCCTAATAAAAGTATTGTAATAGAATTAGGGTTACTCTAATACTAGACCACCAAGACTCTTGGGACTAGTATAAATAGAGGTTCCATATTAATGAATAAATCATCAATCTTCTGGAGAATAATTCTTTTTGTGCGCTCAGTGGAACCGACGGACTCTCCCTTGCCTAGGGCGGGAAGCTGAGTTCTTTTTCCAACTATCATACTTATCGTTCTTCTTTTTTATCTCCTGTAACATAATTGTCTGGTCGTAAGTGCTAATTCTTAATCATGGGCTATTTCAGTGGAGATGTGGTTCAATTAGTAAAACTTGTTTCAAACACAAACGGGTGATGGATCATTGACTCAAGTGCCTAAGACCTTTCTCTGTGATAATCCACATCTATTACTACTAAGCACCAAAACCTTCCTTTAATCACCTAGCCTATGGTTTTCAAACTTTGGCCACTCCAACTTTCTTCCTGACCATCTGACTTCAACCCTGTATGTTCTTAAAAGCCCTTTTAACCTTGTCACGGTTAGTAAAATTACACGCTCTCTTTCGATTGTGAGTTGTGTCACCTTAGAAAGCAACCGTTAGTCATTTTCAAGGCGGGTGAATAAGCGGGCACCCACTCCCATTTGATTTAGTTCGTATAGACTATAGATATATGAGGTCTGTATCGAGTCACGTCTACCTTAGGATTCTCTATTTTGTTATTTTGATGGATGACTTCTCCTAATAAACGTGGTTGTTTTTAATAAAAGAGTGTTTTGAATTATTTGATATCTTTCAATTTTTTCTCGAAATTCACACAATTTGGTCATTCTATAAAAATCCTACTATGTGACAATGTTAAAGATTTTTTTGCGACACCCTTTAATCAATTCACGAGATCACGAGGTATGCTTCCCTAGTATTCTTGTGTTCACACGCCTCAATAAAATGGGTTTGTTGAAAAGAACTGATAATTATTTGATACTACTTGCACTCTTTTATTACATTCAAATAATCCACCTCAGTAACAGGCAGATATTGTTCTCACTATCATATAATATCTTCTTTAGTTCTTAATAACGAGATTCCCTATTCTGTTTTTTTTCTTCAACTGTTGACTCCTAATCTAACGAGCATCAAAATAATCCTCCAACAGCAGCTCAACTTTTACACATCTACCATGGTCGTCCTTTATCTCCACCCATTGAGCATAGAGAGGCCGCACCTGTGGGTTCCCTACTACAGATTCTACGTCATCGCAATCATCTGAGTCACTCCTAATGATTTGCCCATTGCCCTCAAGGAAGCTATGCACTCGACTTTGAATCCTCATATCATATAACAACGCCTTTCCACTCCTTACTTTGAATCCTAATAATAATAATAATAATAATAATAATAATAATAATAATAATAATAATAATAATAATAATAATTATTATTATTATTATTATTATTATTATTATTATTATTATTATTATTATTATTATTATTATTATTATTATTATTATTATTATTATTATTATTATTATTATTATTATTATTATTATTATTATTATTATTATTATTATTATTATTATTATTATTATTATTATTATTATTATTATTATTATTATTATTATTATTATTATTATTATTATTATTATTATTATTATTATTATTATTATTATTATTATTATTATTATTATTATTATTATTATTATTATTATTATTATTATTATTATTATTATTATTATTATTATTATTATTATTATTATTATTATTATTATTATTATTATTATTATTATTATTATTATTATTATTATTATTATTATTATTATTATTATTATTATTATTATTATTATTATTATTATTATTATTATTATTATTATTATTATTATTATTATTATTATTATTATTATTATTATTATTATTATTATTATTATTATTATTATTATTATTATTATTATTATTATTATTATTATTATTATTATTATTATTATTATTATTATTATTATTATTATTATTATTATTATTATTATTATTATTATTATTATTATTATTATTATTATTATTATTATTATTATTATTATTATTATTATTATTATTATTATTATTATTATTATTATTATTATTATTATTATTATTATTATTATTATTATTATTATTATTATTATTATTATTATTATTATTATTATTATTATTATTATTATTATTATTATTATTATTATTATTATTATTATTATTATTATTATTATTATTATTATTATTATTATTATTATTATTATTATTATTATTATTATTATTATTATTATTATTATTATTATTATTATTATTATTATTATTATTATTATTATTATTATTATTATTATTATTATTATTATTATTATTATTATTATTATTATTATTATTATTATTATTATTATTATTATTATTATTATTATTATTATTATTATTATTATTATTATTATTATTATTATTATTATTATTATTATTATTATTATTATTATTATTATTATTATTATTATTATTATTATTATTATTATTATTATTATTATTATTATTATTATTATTATTATTATTATTATTATTATTATTATTATTATTATTATTATTATTATTATTATTATTATTATTATTATTATTATTATAATAATTATTATTATTATTATTATTATTATTATTATTATTATTATTATTATTATTATTATTATTATTATTATTATTATTATTATTATTATTATTATTATTATTTCTTCCTCAATTTACAATGCTTACCAAATGGCGTCTTATCATGACAAATGTGGCTGATTTTGCTGGTGTTTGGGTTGAATTTTCTAAATATTTAATTATTTATAAACACGGATGAAGTATTTAAAAAAGCTAAAAAAATCCGAAGGAAATGTAGAAGTATCAATTTCACCCCTTTCAGCCAAAAATTAACTCATTCACTAATTAAGGCCATTTAGGGAGCCCAATGGAATAATTTAGTGTTTGGTGAAAAAATGTTGATAAACTGAAAATGAAACCTACTAAACAGTATCTTAATCCTGTACCAAAAGTTTCTTATTTGGACATCTATCTGCAGCTCCAAAGGTACGTTTGGTTTTCCGTTCACATGTATCGAGATCCAAGGCAGAGAAATTTAGAGTACATATTTCACAAGCATTTGAATCTGTTCTTGGATCATCCCCTGTGATGCTCGAGATCAGAGATGAATCAAGGAAAGATCTAAAGGCAGGATTAACTGTCTTTCCCACATCTCGTGGCGGTTCATCGTCTCACATTCAAACAAGCTTCAGTCGTCACACTAGGCTTCAAAAAGAAAGAGTAGGAGCTTTGCCTGGAGATTTTTACTCCTCTGGAACAGCAGAAAATGAGATTGTAGAATTAGAAAGTACACCCTCGAGAGTAGCCAAACAACTTGAAGTGAGACAATTGGGGAATATAGAACAGAAGAATATGAGCCTAGTGAGAGGGAAGGTGTCTCTTGCTCAAGTGCTGCAACTGGCAGAAGGATGTGCACAGCAGCCGCAGTCCATATGGTCACACCGCATGGCAGTCTCTTTTGCTGAAAAGCTTGAACATGACAATCTGTACGTTCTTTTCATAACTATTTATTTAAGATGGCATATCACATTTGACTCATAAATTTCATTTGTTGTTTGACCTTTTTTCCGAAATATTTAAGTGATTTATCTTCATCATCACCTGACAAAATTTTTGGGTCAACTTTTGTATGGTTTCCGTTTCATTGTTTTTTGGCAGAACCCTAAAAGGATATGAAACTCATAGTCGTGTACAACATGTGAAAAAAATGAAACTCAGTCATCAGAAGTTTTTCTTTATGCAGGAGACTGGAGCCCAGATATAGGAGTTTGTTTTGCTGGAAGTCTAGAAGGGTATCATGTCCAAAGGTAAAATCAGTTTATACCCTCATTGATTGATTGTTTGTTTGTTTGTTTGTTTGTTTGTTTGTTTGTTTGTTTGTTTGTTTGTTTGTTTGTTTGTTTGTTTGTTTGTTTGTTTGTTTGTTTGTTTGTTTGTTTGTTTGTTTGTTTGTTTGTTTGTTTGTTTGTTTGTTTGTTTGTTTGTTTGTTTGTTTGTTTGTTTGTTTGTTTGTTTGTTTGTTTGTTTGTTTGTTTGTTTGTTTGTTTGTTTGTTTGTTTGTTTGTTTGTTTGTTTGTTTGTTTGTTTGTTTGTTTGTTTGTTTGTTTGTTTGTTTGTTTGTTTGTTTGTTTGTTTGTTTGTTTGTTTGTTTGTTTGTTTGTTTGTTTGTTTGTTTGTTTGTTTGTTTGTTTGTTTGTCTGTTTGTCTGTTTGTTTGTTTGTCGTGCGTGTGGGGGTCAATCTTAGAAGTTTACCCACACATCACTCACCTTACCTTATTGTCTACTCCCTCCGTAACATTCATATCTTCCCACTTTCCTTTTTTGGATGTAACATTTATATCTTCCTATCATACCCTCAATAATTAAAAAAATAATACACTACTACACCTACTTTTTTTAGATTTATCCTTCATTCCATCACATTATTTCACCATCTTCCCATTATACCCTCAATAATTCATACCTCATTTCACTATTCTTAATCTCACCCACTTTGGAAGTGGGAAGATATATGTGATATGGAGGGAGTACCTTTTAAAGGTTTGACTCTCATGCTCTAGCTCTGATGTGGGCTGACTTAATTAGAGCCCGTTTGATAACACTGAAATTGGGTGAAATGGCTCAATCTGCTAAATTATGAATAAAATATGTAAAATATATTTTATTAAAAAAATAAAGAAAATGTTATATGAAAGTAGCTAAAATAGTCTTATTCAACAATTTCAGCCAATTCAGTAACTACAACATTACTTATTTTGATCATTGAGCACACAAAATCTAAAGTTACGTGTTTGATAAAAAAGGCTAATAAGCTGAAAATAGGGGTTGCTAAACAGGCTCTAAATTTAATATTTTCAAAGATTTCCCAAAGCAAATTGCCTAAATTAAAGACCGCTTGAGGAATGAGATAATTTGCCTGAATTAAAGTAGGAGTAACACCTATACACCTATCTTGTTTATTTTTCTTTGTTATGTTTTTTTTTCTATATTTTATCTTTCTTATGTTCTTTTATGTTTTAATCTTTTATTTTTCTTGTATTTTATGTTATTATTATCTTATAATACTCTTTATCTTGTCCATTTTATCTTACCTTATTTTTTTATTTCTCTTATTTTTTGACTGATGTCATGGATCAACTGATGTTAATCGATTCCAAAATCTTTCGAGAGCAAGCTTGGATGTTGTTGTTTTAGAATGATTCCTTATGTTATAGTTTTTGCTTAAATGCGTACTTGCAATGTGCAGCTTAAGCGGTTGAGAACCAGAAGTAGGAGACCAAAAGCTTTACTGAAGTTGGTCTCTTGCGGGAAGTGTCTCTCTGGCAGGTCTTCAAGGTAAACACCATAGAAAAACTTACCAGATGGCAACTGAATGCTTAGGTGCAGATTTCCATTGTATTTTTGTTTTGTTTTGTTTTAATGCATACCTCGTGAAAAGCTAAAAATTTTGTTAGTTAGCTACATTTTCTAGAGGTAGAAACACCGTTGGTAAGAAATGGTGATTAGAGCTTCTACTTGTTAAGGTTTAGGCCTCTTTCAATTGCATTATCTGTTACATATTGTAGATGTTTTTATATAGGAAGTTGCCATTTTTGGGTGGACAACTGGAACAAGCAGATCATCCTTTAGCAGCATGTCTTCTAAAAGAGTGACACGAAATTACGAAGTAATATTAGTAGGGAGTAAGGAGTCGATTAATGAAAGGTTCTGAATAGATCGACAACAATACCTTTTGGGAGATGGTATACTCCATGTCTCCATCTAGGGGTGGACTCGGGCCCGGGCGGCCCGACCCGGAACCGGCCCGGCCCGGTTACTGTTTGGCCCGGCCCGGCCCGGGGCCCGGTGGGTCCATCAGTTCAGTTTGGCCCGGCCCAGGTGATGGGCGGTCCGGGCTCGGGCCCTGCTTTAGGTGAACCGGCCCGGCCGGTTTGGGCCCGCTCCGGGCCTGATTTTAATTTTTTTTTTTTGAATTTTTTTTAAGTTTTGGATTGGATTAGGTATTTTGGGTCATTTGAGGTGGTTTGGGGTGGTTTGGGGTTGAGGGGGAGGGGTAGGGGGTTAAATAGGAGAACCAAAAAAAAAAAATAGACCAGTTGGAACTGACCCGGCCCGGCCCGGTTTGGCCCGGAACCGGAACCGGCCCGGCCCGGTTTGGCTCGGAACCAGAACCGGAACCGGCCACCAGCAGTTCGGGCTCGGGCCCCAATTTTCTGACCCGAGGCCCGGCCGGGCCCAGGCCCGAACCGGGCCCGAACCGGCCCGAGTCCAGCCCTACATCTATTCATTTAAAGGTAAATCCGAGGCTAGAACTGCTTGCCTTAACCCTACTAAGGTAGGGTGGACTAGGCCGGTTGTGGCCCGGTTCTGATTATGTACTTGCTAGTTCATGTCCTAGTTATTTAAATAGGGTACGGGAATTAAATGAGGTTTAATATGTACACGTTTTATTCGGTGACGTGAATAAAAAACGGTCAAATTTAGTTGGAAAGACGTTGAATTTTTACAAATTGTGTAAATATATACGACGTATGTGTATAATACAATATCTATGTCAAAAATTCGGACAAAAAATAAATTTGAACATTTAAATTATATAGTTCACAAAATAAAATATACTCTCTCAGTCCCAAAAGGATTGACCAAATTGATTTTTATTAGTCGATGGTGGTAAAGTTTGACTAATGATACTCCCTCCGTAACTTAAAAATCTTCCCACTTTCCTTTTTCGTCCGTAACACAAAAATCTTCCCATTTCTAAATCTTCCCATCATACCCTCAATAATTCTTAAAATAATACACTATTACAACTACTTTTTTTGGATTTATCCTACATTCCACCACATTATTCCACTATTTTCCCATCATACCCTCAATAATTCATATCATCTTTCACTATTCTTAATCTACCTACTTTTGAAATGGGAAGATTTTAAAGATACGGAGGGAGTATTATTTAATAAAAAATATTTAAAATATGAATATTATATGAGCATATTCTATATTAAAAAAAGTTTCATAAAAGTATAAAAATTAAAAATCATACACAAATATAATATCTAATATCATTGTCTACACTTTAACACCATTTACTAAGAAAAGTCAAATTTATCATTCTTTTTGGTACATAAGTAGTAGTAAAATGAAATAAAAGTATAGACATATTCAAGTAGCAAATGCCATTATTGTATAAAAGAATGATTCATAATTGCATAAGTTGATGACAAAATAGTAATCAAGTCCAAGACGTAATTTGGCAAAATAATGTAAAAAAAATAAGGCATAATAATGATAAAATGAGGTTAAGTTAACATCATCATCTTTATATGATCATTAAATAACATTGAAGTTAAACACATCATTTGATTAAGATGATGGATGTCATATAAGAAAGTTGTGCGATTGTTACGCTTATCATTATTTATGCGGGAGAAGTTTATACTAAAAAATGTCAAATTTAGAAAAAAAATTAATTTTGGTATGCTTGTTTGAAAAAATATCAGAAATCTTGTAGTTTTAAGTTTTAGTCTTTTAGAATGCTATCTTTAGTTGCCATGTAATTAATTTTAGTATTTAATAATTGCATATTGTGTTTTGTAACAATACAAAAACACAGGGTCAAAGGGAGGAGGTTTTCCTTTTTGCTTTTGAATTATTGTTGATCTCTTATTCATTTAATCTATTCATTCAATTGATCAATTCATGACGGGAAGTAGGAGTTTTCCCCTTTTAAACGGACCGATATTATTTTTTCGTTTGAAACGTGTTGTTTTATTAAAAAAAACTCTATGTTTTTAAAACGCGTTTAAAACGCAAAAAGACTAACTAGGGTTCCTGTTCCCCACCCTCACTACCGGGGATCACACGAGTTTTTGAAGAGGTTAAACCAATTCTAGAGAACAGAGCCCACTGATTTAAAGGGCTTCAATTTTTTTAAAAATTTATTAGTATTATATAGTCCTCCCTCCGCTCTGTTAAGTTTGTTCCATCTTTCCTTTTCGGTTCGTCCCACTAAGATTGTCTCATGTCAAATTTGATAAAGTTTGTGTGGTTCTAAATGGTTTTTACTTTACTTCCACTTTATCAACTAGTTACTCAATCCGTGCGTTGCACGGAAGGTGAAGTAGCTACATAAATTTTAGAAGCAATTATACGAAAGCTAAAATAACTTGATAGTTGATAATGATCTAATCAGCTGAAAACACTAAATAGAATTTATGGTAAGATATTATTATAATAACAAACTCACAAATGAGTGGTATTAATCAAAAGTAAAGCATCATGCAATGAAGTAGGTCTTCATGTAAGCTCATGGAACTATCAACAAAAAAATATAATTATTATAAACTTCTTTGTATAGAGTTTTTATGACACACGAGATTGGTCGTCTTGTCCATCTTCGTTACATATGACAGAGGAAATGTCAACTTACTCGATGATTGGCTCCAACTCTTATTAATACTCGGTCCCATTTTGTAAGATATGTTTCCTATTCACTTGGTCAATACAAATCATTCTTAATCTCTTAATTTATATATCAATTTTTTTATCAAATTTGATTCTGGTTTTTGTAACTTTGTAAAACTTTTAGTGTAGTTTCTTAATATGTATTTTTTTTGGAAAAAGGGTCATATAAACCCATCTACTGTTACAAAACCATCATGTAAGCCCATATACTTCAAAAACAATCACACAAATATACGGAGTACATACTATTAAAAAACAATCAAGTAGGTCCAATGACCTGTTAGCACTTATGATAGCAGGTTACTATCATTTGTTTACCTTTTTTTTGTCTTTCGTTATACGATTGCATATCTCCTAGCTAGTCAATCATTTTTTATTTTGCTTTTTTCCCCCTTTCCTTTCTTTTTTATTTTTCTTCTTGATCATCACTATTATTTTATTTCCCTTTCTTTAATGTCTTTATATTTTTAGTTTTTCTCGGTTTCACTTTTTCATTTATTGCCTTCACCCTGAAAATGCTCCGTACCATTTCTTATACAATATTTCACTAATGCCGAAATAACACTTTTCATTTCTTATTATTATTAATGCCTTCACTAATGTCTAGAACGCACATTAAATGTTTCAATGCAGTAAAAAATAGTAAAAAATTGTATGTTTTCGTACACAATTTGAGAGTTCCTTGCAAGAACAATATACGTGTGTAAAAATGTAAAATGTTTGGCACATTAAATGTGGGTCAAAAAAAATAAATTTTACAAATAATAAATGTTTGGCACACAAAAAATGTTTTGGCAGGGCTAGAAAAACGTTACTCCCTACTCCCTCGCATAAAACATGATCATGTTGAATTTCAATGATGTGCATATTTGATAAATTATACGGAGCACTCCGTATCTTTTAAAATGAAAATATTTAAAATATACTCCCTCCGTCCCAGAGAGAAGTTCCCCGGGTTGACTTTCACACATATTAAGAAAATAAAGTTACTGAGGGGTAAATTTTACTGTTTGCCACTCTTTCGACACTGTTTAGCACTGTTTCAACACTGTTTGACATTGTTTTGCACTGTTTGGCACTGTTTTGATGTATGATAACTTTCCATTTAGAGAAATGAGAACTTTTTGTTGGGACTGCCAAAAAAGGAAAGTGGGAACTTGTCCCTGGGAAGGAGGTAGTAAAAGAATACTTGTGGTTGGGTCCGTTTCCAGATAGGGCCATGTGCTTCATTTTTTTTTATCAAAGTGGTTCATGTGTTTGAATTCCATTATTACAAGAGGGTCACGCCGTTAAAAACGTCTGACAAATATAGTTAATAGTAACTCCGATTTTCAAAAGTGCCCGGAAAATTAAAAGAAAATACCAGAATGTACACCTCAACAAAACGATTGCTAGGCCATCTTTCTTTTTTGTCAACGTAAAGTCCACCAAAAAAGTGATATTAGCGAAATTATTTTTTAAAAACATTTCAAACAGATCTGAATAATCCAAAGGCGAAGGTGGTTTGGAGGTCATCTTGATAAGGCACACCTTTCAGTGTTTTTCTTTTAAATTTCCGGGCACTTTTAAAAATTGGAGTTATTAGTAACCGTCTTTCTCAGACGTTTTTAACGGTGACTCTCTTGTGATAACGGAATTCAATCACATAAATCATGTTGATAAAAAATGTGTTTACATGACCCTATATAAAAATGGATCCAAACATGACACTATCTAAATATAAATAGTAGTCTTTTCAATTCGAAACAAATGTGACTACCGTTTTAATTCGCATCATTTAAACATCATCATTAATTCCTATATAATTCCCATATATGGTTGCCGTTTGATCGCTACAAACCGTACCCTAAAGGCTAAAGTTTATAAGATTTCGCTACTGGATTGGGTTGGTGGGGCTGACGGCCCCTTGGGCTATGGTGGGGCGGCGCCGACATTGATCTTTGTCCGGGGAGGCAGCAATCGTTGGCTGGGGTAACGGTGGTCTTTCGCAAGAGCGGCGGCAGTGGTCGTTGGCTGAGGTGGCGGTGGTCTTTTGCAAGAGCAGGGGCAGTGATTTACTGATTTTAAGTTGGGACAGCGACAGCAGTGGTCTTTGGCCGGGGGGCGACAGTGAGTACCAATTTTAGAGTGATTTTAAATTTATTCGCACCGGTAATTTGTGTCAAAAATATCGTAAAAGTACAAAATTTATGAATAATAAATG